TTAAAACGCAATTCCTACTAGAAGACTGCCTTTGAAGTGAAATCATGGGGCCACAGACTGCTTGAGGTCTGAAAAGGCCTCTGGGAGGGTATGTGGTCTAAACACCCTAGTCAGGAAGGCTCACCTAGAGCTGGTTGCCTAGGACCACTGTCGAGGCTGTTGAATGTCTCCAGGGATGGAGACTCCACAATCTCCCTGGGGAGCCCATGCCAGTGCTCGGTCACCCTCACTCCGAAAAAGTGTTTCCTGTTGTTCAGACGGAGACTCCTGTGTTGCACTTTGCCTCTGGTTCTGTCACTGGGCACTACTGAAAAGTGCGGGCTCTGTCCTCTTTGCATCCTCCTTTCAGGTCTTCACAAACATTAGCAAGATTCCCCCCCCCTGTACCTTCTCTTCTCCAGGTTGAACAGTCCAAGCTCAACCTTTCCTCGTATGAGACATGCTCCAGTCTCTTTGCCATCTTACTGGCTCATTGTTGAACTCTTTCCAGTAGCTCTGCATCCTTCAGTGAGAGCAAGAAATATTATCAAAAGTCTTCTCATGTATCCAGTCATGACTGCATGTTAAAGTTCTTTAAATAAAACTGGAGATATTGCAAGAAATATCTATAGTGAACTTCGCTTTTTGCCTCCACTGGTCAAGAGAGCTGAAACAATGTCATGTAATGAGCCACAAATATAACAGAATTCTTGTTTTCACCCCTCTGTGTCTACTGTCAGAGTAATTACACAGAGATTTTTTGAATTATTTTTAAAAACAATAACAGCACTATTATATTTATATAACTTTATTTAAAAAAAAAAAAACAGCACTAAGGATTTGTGTATGAACACAGAATTCTTCTTACATAGACTGAATTTCTGGTGTGAGCCAAGGTGAGTAAATGAAATCACAGTCCTGGGACTTAAGAAAGAGCACTGCACCAGCTATTTAGCTTCCACAGATTTTTAGTCATTGAGCTCAAAGAGGCTGGACAATATCCACACAGAAATGAAAATGGAACATCACTTAGACTTATTGCTCGGAAGGTTTAGTTAGTTAAGTGAAATACAGATCATCAGTAATCATGATTAAAGTAAGAGGATAGCAGGCATCTACAATGGCAGAGATCACCTCTCATGTGCCCAGTGAAGTAGTAGGTAAACCAGAGTTACCATACTATATCTAGTTGTTAAAGTGCACTACAGTTATACCTAGCTTTGCTTCACAGGAGGCACATGAAGGAGAAGGATGGGGAGGGAACGACAACTTCTCATTTCTGCAGCCATTTAATTTACAAGAGAATAAATGCTATTAAAATGATTCACAGGAAAGCAGCATGAATAAATTCTTCAATTCATGTCAGATGAAAGACTCAAATATCACAGGCCTGGTAATAAGGTACAGTGCTTTCTACAGCTAAACAAAACCGCTGTTCTGAAGCTATCATAACAACCAAATTAATAAACACTGTGACTAGAAATTTAAGATAAGTAAATGAGGATTTAATGATAATCTTAGGTGTAACAGTAGAGCCAGTGGTGGCACCAAGTCAGTAAGACAGTAAAAAGTCAGTTTTAAAAGAGTAAGACTGGAGAACATCACAGGCATAGCCAAGTTCAGTTCCTGCAGTAAAAAAAAACTGTAAAGAAGGCTGAGCCTAGATGACTGTCTATAGGATTTCTATTCTGTGTGTCATCATAGAACTCACAGCACCTCTCAATAGCCCAGAGAAAAGTTATAGCCAAATGAAAAACATTCTCTATAAAGAAACATAGGAACTGAGCAGAAAGAACAGGTCTCAAAAATCTCTATTTCCTGATCTAAAAGGGACCCGTTTGGATTACTTCTTTATCCCAAACCTGATAGCTGGTTAAATCCTGAGCATAATCCTTGGTCACATCAGGCAGACACCAGATAAAGATTACTATCGATAATCATACCTTATCTATATTTACATTATTTTCACTCTAGTGCTTCATAGAATCACGGAATGGTTTAGGTTGGAAGGGACCTTCAAAAGCCATCTAGTCCCAGCCTCCCTGCAGGGGATGAGCAGGGACATCTCCGAATAGATCAGGTTGCACAGAACCACATCCAGCCTGCGCCAGCTCATGGGCTTTTTCTGCTCAACCCGCACACCCATCCTTTGCCAGGGGATGCTGGTTGAGCTTCTCCACTGTAAAGATCTTTCTGTCTGGCTCGTGATGTGATTGTACATGTCTTTCCCAGGGAAGTTCAGCAAATGAGAGACACAATGTCTGTAATCACACAGATGTCTGGCTGGGCTCTGAAAAACATAGGTACAGATGGACAAAGGCAGGGCAGGCTGTCACCACACTGGGCTCCTGCTCAGCGCTCCCCATGGAAAAAAACACAGGACCCAAGAGCATGACTGTGACTGGGCAGGTCTCATGGGGTTTGCTGTCTCCCAGCACTCACAGACCTCCTGTTGTGTGTCTGAGAGAGCAATCTTGTGCTTAGAGCAGTGACAGAAAATGCTGTAGTAACTATCACACAGTCAGCAGGTCTTCCACCAGGATTGGTATTATTATTGCTATTTGATTAACAAGTGTTATTAAGGTATGCACAGAGTACGCATTTTGCTGAGGTGCACAAAGGGAGCGTCATCAAATCTGAGTACAAATCCACCTCACCAGTTATGAAATAAATGGGCAGAATAGAAAGACAATACTCAGTACTTTCCAGCACTGAACAGTGCTAGAATGATTGAGATAAAAAATACTCTGTACAGAGTTGGTTGCAAGCCCTGGGCTATCTCCCCTCAGGCCAGTGGTGTTGCTCAAGGGCATGGCATGGGTCCGGTGCCTGACACCTGAGGTCTCACAGAGGGCTTGGATCCCTCCAAAACAGCAGCTGGCCGCAGAAGTGGCTGTGCTGAGCCGAGCTTCCTGCTCACAGTCCAAGCTCAACCTTTCCTCGTATGAGACGTGCTCCAGTCTCTTTGCCATCTTACTGGCTCGTTGTTGAACTCTTTCCAGTAGCTCTGCATCCTTCCTGTACTGCGGAGTGGAGACCTGGGCGCAGTTCTCTAGGAGGGGCAGGAATCCTGTTCCACAACACTGGACCCACTGCTCACCTCTAGGGTACATCCTGCCCCAGGAAGGTGTAGGATATGCAAAACACACCACCAAGTGAGCTGTGGAGTCTTTCTCCACACACCCCGGACCCTGCACCCACCCTACTGCTTCATCTAACGCCACACTATGACGTCACACCACGCAGGGGGAGAGTCTGTGAGGTTGGGCACTGTGGGCCCAGATGGAACTCACAGCGTTCTGCAGGCTGAGTGCCACTGGCAAGGCGGTCTCTTGGCCGTCTTCAGGAGCTCATCTGCCCACACAGACAAACCCTTGCAGCTTGAAGAAGGCGTAATTTCTCACCAGGATGGTGCAGAGGAAGGCTCGTCCACGAGCACGGGCGGCTGCCTGGCCAGGGAGAACAGCTAGCCGCAGCAGGCAAAGTTGTTCGAAGGCTCGGAGCACCCAAGGGCAAAGGTCTGCCCACTGCCCTGCTGCAGAAAGTGAGGGTGAGTTCAGCGCTGCCTTTCACCCCATGTTTGCACCAAGCCTGCCCGACTTGGCCAGGCCCAACAGCGCTGCAGAACCAGCACCATCCTCCTGCCTGGGCTCACTGTGGCTATGTGACGATGAAGGAGCTGGGATACTGTAGTTCCTAGGGGGCACCCCAGGACTCGTGCCACCCTCCCTCCCCAGGTACGGCATACGTACCCTGACTGCAAGGGGATCCTGCCCGGCCTTCCACTCCACACTCTCAGCTTCCCCTCTGGAGGCCACAGCCACAGCCCTTGCCTCACCCCCGGAGAGGGACTGCGTGGGAACAGCACCCACCTGCCTGCAGCTATCTGGCATGTACTCAAGGAGGATCCTGAGGCTTTTCTCTGATTTCTTTGCCCAGGGTTGCTCTGCAGTGTGGTAACGGCCATGGTCTTCCTGCAGAGGTGCCTTTGCTCAGGGATCGCCACCATGTGAGTACAGCGCCTGCTCAGTAACAACACAGGGACACGGAGCGTGGAGGGCTCAGGGCGAGCATAGGGAGGCTGGTGGAGGAAAGTGGGGCTGGTTGTGCTCCCCGCCAGGAGCTTTCTGGCTACTTCAAGATTACTGCTCCTCAGCTTGTAAGAGAAAATCCCCCATGTGCAGGGCTCTGCCCTGGATCATTGCTGCCAGCCAAACTCCCTCTTTTCCAGGAAAGGGCTCATCCCCTTGACAAAGAAGAGGCTCTTCACAGTCCTCTTCTTGATGATCCTAGCGGCTTTTGGTGAGTATTTGCCTGTTGCCAGTGGAGGCATGGAGGCAGAGAATGCGAGCTTCAGAGTGAGAGAGAGGTGCTGGTGGGGCCCTTCCAACCCCTCCATGTCTGAAGCTCAGGGAGCTTCTGAGATGTCCATGATGCAACCAGCCCCAGAGCCAACAGCTGAAACAGGTGCAGAGCCTATGATGCTCACCACAGATGGGAGGAGATACGGGCTGTAGCTGTGGGGCTCCAAGCACACCTGGAAGCTAGGAGTGTGCAGAGCCCTCCGGCATGGGGAGAGGGTCTCCACTTGTAGTACCAACCCTTCTCTGCATCCCTATGTCCTCAGCCAGCCTCTTGCCATCCTGCTGTGGGAGGGGACCATGTGACTACAGGGATCATTAGAAACCCTGATATAATACCTCTTTTGGTGATGTGAATTACAGCTGGTGCCTTCTGTGGGACCTCGACGGTGATGTGGATGCTGCAGACAGCAGGTCTGCCACAGGTCAGTGACTGCAGCTGTGGGACCGTAAAGTCCCACAGAGGAGCACTGGTGGAGGTGGGTGCATGGGTAAATAGCCCAGTCCCTCCAGTTCCAGGCAGTGACATAGAGAATCAGCCGCAGCTTCTGCCATGACTCTGGAAAGCCCTGGCAGTTCTGGGGACTCAGGAGAGCCTTTTCCTTTCAGGTACTGCTGGGGGAGCCTGCAGCTGACCTGTATTCCTTTCGGTAAGAGTCCTCCCCTCTCTCCTGACCTGCATGCAACACGTTTCATGGGGTAGCGGCAGATGAGCTCCTGCTATTTTCATTCACTTTCACAGTGCCCAGAGCGTGTATCTTGTGCTCCTGCCTGGGCCTTTTGCTAAACCTGGAGGGGAAGGAAGTATTCACAAGCCAGGGAAAGTGAAAAAAAAAGGCTGGAGCTTTGCTGCCTCTCTTCCTCCCAAGCTTGGAGGCTTTGGGAGGGGCTGGGCAACTCTCTGACAAGATCTGCTTTCCCGCTGACTGCAGAAATATGCTTGCTCTGGCGCGGAAAAAAATGGACAACATGCAACATCTGAGAGATGAACTGGCAAGCCTGGCTGCAGAGATCAACACTGTGAAGAAGGTGATCCTGCACTTTGGGAAAGAGGGCCGGGCCCTCCCTGGGCAGCTGCTGGGCTTTTCTTGCTCAGCCCACACACCCCATCCGTTGCCGGGGGATGCTGGTTGTGCTTCTCCACCGTAAAGACCCTTCTGGCCAGCTTGTGACGTGGTTGTTTGTGTTTTCCCCAGGAAGCTCAGCAACTGAGAGAAGGGATGTCTGCAATCACACAGATGTCTGGCTGGGCTGTGAAAAGCACAAGTACGGATGACCCCAGGAAGGCAGGGCTGTCATCGCACTGAGCTCCTGCTTAGCGCTCCCAAAAGGAGGCTGTGTGGCAGCCTCGGTTCTCTGAGGCACAGGGACACGGAACAAAACCACGGGATGCAAGAGCGTGACTGTGACCGAGCAGGTCTCCTGGGGTTTGCTGTCTCCCAGCACTCACAGACCTCCTGTTGTGTGTCTGAGAGAGAAATGCTGTCGCCGGGCATGGGGATTACCTTGTTTTCCTGGGGCACCCACAAAGGTGTGGTGCTGCATATGGAGGCTGGCAGACATCCTTAGAAATAGCCTGCAGCCACCAGGTCCTCAGAGCATGGAGCCTCCTGCACTCTCCTTTCTTCTCCCTCCAGGGGCTGCCATCAACCTGCAGAGATCATCCAGCAGCTCTGCATGGCTCTGCAGGATGTTTTGGTTCCTGTGTATTCCACCCATTCTGGATACCTTTGTGCAGGTAGAGTAGCAGAAACTGTCAGTGCTGCTTCTCTTGCCTCTTACAGAGTCGGTTGCAAGCCCTGGGCTATCTCCCCTCAGGCCAGTGGTGTTGCTCAAGGGCATGGCATGGGTCCGGTGCCTGACACCTGAGGTCTCACAGAGGGCTTGGATCCCTCCAAAACAGCAGCTGGCCACAGAAGTGGCTGTGCTGAGCTGAGCTTCCTGCTCACCGTCCCAGGTCATGTCTGTGTATTTCCCCATTTCCCTGCCACAGCTTGACTGTCCCTCTCCTGACTGGACAGTGAAGGGTGGGGAGAGGCTTCAGAGCTGCTGTGCGAAAAGACAGGTTTCTTTAAAGGCCTGACTCAGGTGCAGGTATCAGATGTTTCCCGCTGACAAGCTGTTTTCCTTTTTGCCCGGTTAGGAAGATGAGTGGGCACTTCCATTCACTTCCCATTTATGGGGAAGTGGACAAATGCCATTCGTTTTGAGGTTTTCCCACAGGTGCAGTGCCGCCTATGGTTCTGGCTGCACAGGAGAGCAGTGGGCCACATCACACTCTCACTTTCATTCTCTTGTCCTCTGCTTTCAGCCTGATTCTTCCCCGGGATACTGCTGGCCTTTCCAAGGGTCTGAGAGTGAGGTGCTAATCCAGTTGCCTGCAAAAGTACGACCAACGGCCATCACCGTACAGCACACCTTAAAGACAGACTCTCCGCTGAGGACTATCAGCAGTGCCCCGCGAAATTTCATAGTCTATGTGAGTCTGCTGAGCCCTGGGGGGCTGCGACCCGGCTGTGTGGGAAAGCTGTAACAGGGACTTGCTGGTCTCTGCGCATCTGCTGAGATTCTGGTGCTCCCAAGCACTGCCATCCTCTGACGGGACATTTCAAGGGACATGTGGAATGGTGTCACCCCACGTCCTGCTCAGTGCATTTTCATAGAATCATAGAACAGTTAGGGTTGGAAAGGACCTTAAGATCATCTAGTTCCAACCCCCCTGCCATGGGCAGGGACACCTTACGCTAAGTCAGATCACCCAAGGCCTCGTCCAGCCTGGTCTTGAACACTGCCAGGGATGGAGCATTCACAACCTCCCTGGGCAACCTATTCCAGTGCCTCACCACCCTAACAGGAAAGAATTTCCTTCTTATATTCAACCTAAACTTCCCCTCTTTAAGTTTTAACCCATTACCCCTTGTCCTATCACTACAGTCTCTAATGAAGAGTCCCTCTCCAGCATCCCTACAGGCCCCCTTCAGATACTGGAAGGCTGCTATGAGGTCTCCACGCAGCCTTCTCTTCTCCAGGCTGAACAGCCCCAACTTCCTCAGCCTGTCTTCACACGGGAGGTGCTCCAGTCCCCTGATCATCCTCATGGCCCTCCTCTGGACTTGTTCCAACAGTTCCATGTCCTTTTTATGTTGAGGACACCAGATCTGCACCTCCAGGTGAGGTCTCACAAGAGCAGAGTAGAGGGGCAGGATCACCTCCTTCGACCTGCTGGTCACGCTCCTTTTGATGCAGCCCAGGTTACGGTTGGCTTTCTGGGCTGCAAGCGCACACTGCCGGCCCATGTTCATTTTCTCATCGACCAACACCCCCAAGTCCTTCTCCGCAGGGCTGCTCTGAATCTCTTCTCTGCCCAACCTGTAGCTGCGCCTGGGATTGCTCCGACCCAGGTGTAGGACCTTGCACTTGGCATGGTTAAACTTCATGAGGTTGGCATCAGCCCACCTCACAAGCATGTCGAGGTCCCTCTGGATGGCATTCCTTCCCTCCAGGGTATCAACCAAACCACAGCTTGGTGTCATCAGCAAACTTGCTGAGGGCGCACTCAATCCCACTGTCCATGTCAGTGACAAAGATATTAAACAAGACCGGTCCCAACACCGATCCCTCAGGGACACCACTCGTTACTGGTCTCCAGCCAGACACTGAGCCATTGACCACAACTCTTTGTGTGCGGCCATCCAGCCAGGTCTTTATCCACCCTGTGGTCCATCCATCAGATTGATGTCTCTCCAATTTAGAGACAAGGATGTCATGTGGACAGTGTCAAACGCTTTACACAAGTCCAGGTAGATGACATCAACTGCTCTACCCCTGTCCATCAGTTCTGTAGCCCCATCATAGAAGGCCACCAAATTGGTCAGGCAGGATTTCCCCTTAGTGAAGCCATGCTGGCTGTCACCAAGCACCTTGTTGATTTTCATGTGCCTTAGCATGCCATCCCGGAGAATCTGCTCCAAGATTTTGCCAGGCACAGAGGTGAGACTGACTGGTCTGTAATTCCCAGGGTCATCCATTTTCCCCTTCTTGAAAATGGGGGTTATATTTCCCTTTCTCTAGTCATTGGGAACTTCACCTGACTGCCATGACTGCCCAGCACCTCTAGGCTCTTGAGTAACACGCGACGGGGAGACTCAGTCCTACTGCATCCTGCATCAGACTGTGCTGGAGCTGCAGGAGCTGGAGGGAAACCACATTCCCAGATCTGGCATGAGCGTTTCCTTGTGGCTGTGTTGAGCCTGAACTGCTCCCATGTGCTTTATCTCCAAGGGACTGAATGAAGGAGGCAAAGATGAAACTCCGCTTGGGACATTCACCTACACTGCACAGGAAGAGGTTATCCAGACCTTCCCTTTGCAGGTACAGTGCAGCAGGATTTTCCCCAGGACCCATTTTCTGGGCCATCAAGCCTCAGGTTTCCAGAGCCACCTGCCTTGCTCTCTGAGGCCTGGCTTCTGATCTGCAGGGGAGCAGGGGTCCTTTGGTGCGAGGGTGGGAGAGGGGAAGAAGGGAGAAGCTGCCACCTTAGCCAGTGCAGGAGCTGGTCCTGGAGCCAGACCTGGCTGGCAGAGGAAGACGGGCGGAGCCTGCTTTTGCTCCCAACACCCCAGGAGTGACCCTGGGTTCTTTGCAGGATGAGATGAGAGACTTCCATTTCTTGAAGCTTGTCGTACAGAGCAACTGGGGAAAACCAGGCTACACCTGTATTTATCGAGTGCAGGTGCACGGGAAGGTGGATGGAACCAGTGCCATCAGCCAGATTTCAGATGTGAGGAACTCACTTCAGTAAGAATTAAAGAGGAAAATGGAGAAAGGAGGAGAGTGATTGGCCGTTAGTCTGGGGCACAGCAATGTCAGTGGCCTTCTCACAGCTGCCAACCACTGCCTTTCGCAGGCCAAGGCCTTCCTCAAGCTTTTCACTTTCTCTCCACCACAGGAATGTTTCTTAAGTGACCAAAAGGAGACAACATTCCCATTGCCTTTTCTTGCCTAGTTCCTTGACAAAATCTTTTGTGGGTCATGATCATCAAAGCACGGGCCCATTCCATTCACACAGCACCTTGACTCTGGGGACGGGGTCCAGTGGGGCCCCGCACAGGGTGCAGCCAAGTCTGCATGAGGTGATGGGGCCTGAGCAGCCTTACTGCCGTGAAGGGGAGGATGTTGGCTCAGCTTCCCCATGCCCATGCATGCTCCCAGGAACAGCCCTCGCTTTCTGTCTTCTGCTCGACTTTAAGAAAGCCGCCATTTCCCCATCTTGAAACAACAAAACACAGTCAGCTTCTATCTGACTACTACACATGCAAATATCTGTCTTTGTCGTGGAGAGATTCGCCCAGTTCAGCTCCACGTTTTCAGCAGCAAGTCTGCAAGGCTGCGGACCTACACCCATTACTCTCAGACTGATGTAAACTCTGAAGCCTAAGTCCAACACTCCCACCATCGTTCCCGCTACTCTGCTAAGTCTAGGAGGCCTGAAAACCAATGGAATCTTCTCCTGACTCCAGTGGGTACAGCTCTGTGGGAAAAGCTTGGGTACTTAGCTCTCCCGTCCATGTCGCTTTCCTCATTTGCCTTTGAATTTAATGTGGGACTAGGCAAGCTCAGGTGGACAGTTACATTGTCATACAGCTAATTCATACTTCAGGATAGGGGATTTTTTTTTTTTTTTTTGAGAATTCCACTGCCTCTGTCCTTTGTTGGTAAGGATATGAGACTTCATTGGTACTTGCTTCATTTTCCATGGAAGACTCTGTCAGGAATGCTGGGAAGAAAAGCATCCTGGTCAGCTGTCTGCTGCAAGAGGATGGCAGTAAGCTGAGAATCAGATTGACTAAGGTTGGAAGTCCCTTCCGCAGGACACCTGGTCCAGTGCCTCTGCTCAAGCATGGTCATACAGAATCATTTGCTCAGGACTGTATCCAGACAGCTTTTGAATAACTCCAAAGTTGAACAATTCGCAACCTCTCTGTGCAGCCTGTGCCTGTGCCAGGGCTCAGTCACTCTCGCAATAAAATAGTTTCCTGACATTTTAGAGGGCACCTCCTGTGCTTCAGTCTGTGCTCATTGTCTCTGGTCCCGTCACTGGGCACCACTGAGAAGAGCCTGGCTTTGTCCTCTTTACACCGTCCATTTGGACATTTATACACTTTATTAAGATCCTCGCGAGCCACCTGGTTTTTTCTAGTCTCTCTCATACTTTCTTTGTAGGAGAGATGATCCAGTCCCCTCCTCATTTTTGTGGTCCTCGGTGAACTCTCTCCGTTCATCCATGCATCTCTTGTATTGAGGAGCCCAGAACTGGGCACAGGACTCCACATGTAGCTTTATCAGTGCTGAGTAGAAGTGAAGGGTCACCTCTCTCGGCCTGCTCAAAATCCTTTGTTTAATGCAGCCCAGGGTATCATTTATTTTCTTTATGGCAAGGGCGCATTGCTGGCTCGTGGTCAAGCTGATGTCCACCGAGACCCCAAGTCCTGCCAAGCTGCTTTCTAGGATATAATGGTGCCCGGGGCTTTTCCTGCTCAGGTACAGCATTGTGCAGTTCTTACTGTTGAACTTCATGATGTTCCTGTCAGCTCATTTCTCCAGCCTGTTGAGATCCATCTGGATGGCACCTGCTGGTGTATCTGCCACTCTTCTCAGTTTTGTGTGCCGTTACTGAGGGTACACTCACCCCTCCATCCAGACCATTCCTGAAGATGTTAAAACAGCACTGGACCCAGTATTGACTTCTGGGGTACACTGCTAATTTACTGGCCTCCAAATAGTCTTTGCGTATGCAGGACAGGGAGGTGATTTGAGACAGCTAGCATGGTTTCACCAGGGGCATGTTGTGTGTGACCAACCTAGCTGCCTTCTATGATGTCCACTGATTTCAGTATAAATTCAGCGTTATTTTCTAAATGACTGAATTGGTGCACAA